CCAACCACCACCACATACCACATAGCCTCAATTTTCAGTTCATTTCGCTCCAATTAGACAACCATATCGCCCCCAAAATTATTTTCGCCCAAAAATCCGTTTCGCCCCTAAAGCTATATCGCCCCCAAAATTCTTTATCGACCCAACCGATACGAACCTATATTAGACGATATCTGATCTTGTGAAAGTGGCGTCAGTTATTGTAGGGATGTCCACTACACATCCCTGGTTATTGCCAGTTTCACTTGAATATATTATCAAAGACGTATAATATTAATACGTCTGGATGAGAGTAGCACTAGAGTGAGAAACATCCAGAGAAGTAACCGTTGACTCCGTGGTACCACAAGGGACAGTGCGCATGCTCGGGCCACTATTATTCCTGTGCCATATAAATGACCTACTAGAAAGCGTAACATCTAGCATACGTCTGTTCGCCGATGACTGTTTGATATACAGACAAATCAACCAGTACAGTGACCACCAACTACTACAGGACGACCTAAACAACCTGGAAAAATGGGCTAACCGGTGGGGAATGAAATGCTATGTTATGAACATCAAAGAAAAAAGTCACCGATTCTACACCCTAAATGGACATATCTTGGAACAAATGAAAAAAAATCCCTATCTTGGACTAATAATTTCAGATGACCTCAAGTGGAACACCCACATACTAAAAATAGCAAGGAGAGCCAGTTCGACCCTTGGCTTTCTCAAAAGGAAACCTGCATCGTCTTGCAAGAAAACAGCATATATATCCCTAGTGCGATCCATCCTTGAATACGGCGCAATTATTTGGGACCCTTATACCAAAAAAGAAACTGACCAACTGGAACGAATACAGCGCTTGGCAGTCAGATTCATCTCAAATGACTATAGATCCAGGGAAGATGGATGTATCACAAGGATGCTGGAGAAACTCGAACTACCAACACTCCAGGTCAGGCGAGCACAACAGAGGGTCACATTTATGTACAAGGTGGTTGAGGGGTTGATACCAGCTATACCTCCAGCTAAACATCTAACAAAAAACAGACCAAAAAGGAACATCAAGGCCAGAAACTTCTCGGACTATATAAATCGAATAATGTGGTGGAAGCATCAGTTATACATAACACAAAATCTTATACAGTACCAAAGTACAACTGTGACCAATACAAAAACTCGTTCTTCGTACGTGCAGTTATAGAGTGGAATCACCTGGAAGATGACGTAGTATGTGCCCCTAATTTGGAGGCCTTTAAGAGTGCTATAACGCACCAAAAATCAAACTGAACTGCTCTCTCTCTCCCGTTGTAAAAAAAAAAACGCGAACCGGGTACTACAACGTACAGATACAGATAGTATTAATGAGTATAGGAACACATAACCTCAAGACTTAGTTACTTCACCTGGCCGTTAAACATATTTGTGATTTTTTGTGTGATGTTGGACGGGTCATGCGTTATTCCGCTGTATGAACATAAATATGTCACAGACTTTGTCGGTGTGAACAGGCAACAGTCCCTAAATCTTAAGAATATAAAAGAAAAAAGAAAAACATATTGGTTATATCACGGAATTAGATTATCTTAGTCCGTGGTTATATTAGTTTCATCACGGAATTAGAATAGTTATCTCACGGACTAAGCTAATTCCGTGGTTATCTAAGTTCGTGGTTTTATATACGACCATTTACGAACTTGAACTGGCATACTAACATATTTTTTTTTATATATATAGATAGAGCTAGATGAAATATTCATGAAAAGTGTATGTTTGTATAATATATATAGACATAAATTTGTTACAATCACTTACAAAAGACACTTCTTTTTGATAAAAAAATTGTTGGTGCATTCTGTTCTATTTTTCTATCATGCACTTCCGGTGTTTTAGGGTCTGGCTTCACTTTTGCTGTAGCTTCCAAGTGTAGTCAGTTGGAGAAGGGGAATAACTCTATATTTCCTGTTCGGTTTTGTGCTGTGTATTGTTCGACACGATGTTCTATCACGTAAGTTTGTCGTGTTTTAAAAGACAAATGTATGATAATAGTTTGATAATAAGAATGACAAGTCAATTTCATAGAATATAGTACATTGAAGTTTTTTTTCATAATCAATTTTGAGGTATTAGGTTCAAGTCACATTGCAACAAGTGAATAACTGAACATGCACCGAACAAGTTACAGACTCAGTACCGTCTTAGCCAGGTTTGGCACAACGGCGCATAAGGGTACATGTAATGCTCCTGCATTTGTGTAACAATTGTATTACTGAAATGGGGAATAAATTGAAATAAAAACACTCAAAGTTCTTTTAAACACTTTTAGCAAAAAAGGGCGTCATTCTGTCAACTAAATCAAATAAATAACACAATGAAGTACATTTTTGCACAAAAAATTATCAATTCTGATGTCGAACTTTTTGTGAAAAGGACAAACCATACCACTGAGTTTGTTCTCCATTGACTTCAGAGTGTAGTCAATAGGACTATCCAGTGCAAATGTGACAGGTCAGCATGTTTTTTATGTGTGCTATTTATAGCTTCTACAACACACTATAAGCAATGGAGGTGATACAATTTGTCATTTTCATAAAAATTTAGACAACTGAATTTACATATTTTTGTACACAATTGTACCTCATTGTATTTTTTATTTGATTATGTTGAAAGAATGACGCCCTTTTTTGTTCATAATGTGTTAAAGAACTTTGTGTGTATTTATTTCACTTTATTACCCATTTCAGTAATAAAATTATTACTGAAATGGGTAACTGTTACCCAAATGCAGGATTATTACCCATATGGGCTGTTGTGCCCAACTTGTTAGTGTCTACTTGGGAAGTAGACACTAAGACAATACTGAGTCTGTCTCATCACAGGGGTTGGTTACAAATGTCTGAAATTACACATATCACATAAACATACACAGGGGCATGGCTCGCTTTACTTGTAATATTAAAAAATAGGGGTGTATATATTAGTAAAGGAGACCCCTATTTTTTAATATTACAAGTAAAGTGATCCGTGCCCCTGTGTAAACATACACATGTGCTGTGACCCATATCAGTATAGCATGTGTATTTCAGACACCAATAACGAACCCATGTGGTCTGATCATGAAAAGGCGACGGTGTGAGGGAAATAGGTCTTGAGTTAAACCTTCGTTCAGATGTTGAATATTCTGATATCATATGCCTGATAATGGGTATCAACATTCTAATAATACTGCTGTACCAAGTTCAAAAATAAGATGTCTAGCTATCTCCGATATTGATTCATTCAAATATATCGCACAAGAAATGAACCAATGCACAAATAATTAAGTACTGTTAAATCTATATAATATTCTGACATCATTTTTACTTGTATATAAGTAGACTAATTTAGACTTAAGTCTGTTGTCTAATCCTTTTGGAAACAATAAAATATCTTGAATTGAAATTATTTCTACTTATTTTAATACCATTGTACAATTAGTCACATATCTCTCTTACAAATGGCACACAATATCAAAAGGGCACTGCGTATACCCATAGTATAAATGTGAATGCTGAAGTCTTACTTAATGTGCATTACATTTTTACATTTACAATGGTAAAAACGAATAATAATGACTGATCGAAGCTCAAACCAAATTTATACCTCAAGACACTCGCATGCTTCATTATTCCAAACATTCTCTGGAATATTTTTTTTCTTTTAATTTGCATAAGGTTCACTTTGTTGAAGTTGGCAAAAATATAGTATAAGTAAAAATTTAATGGAAACCTTTCAAATTGCACAAAATCTGTTAAGTTATACTTAATGTACTCAACCACATATTGGTCTGTTTTCTTAATGCAGGTGTCTTTAGAGCATGAAATTCTGCTCCATCCAAGGTACTTTGGACCCAATCTGCTTAATATAGTCAAACAGAAGCTGTTCACTGAAGTAGAGGGAACTTGTACAGGAAAGTAAGTCACCAAACATACATAAAATTATTCTGAAATACAACATATAGTGCTGATTTGTAACACAAAATGTTATTCAGTTTTCTTTAGTGGAAATGCATAGTTATTTAGAATAATTTGTAAAATGTAATTTTAATATTATTTTCACAAATGATTTTATCGAATAATTCTGATTGTCAATGTATACCCTATTGAAATTATGATTTTTCTAAACCCCTTCAATTTTCAAAGATCACATTCAAGATAGGCAAGAGACGTCCAATTGTTCTTAAAGATACCCCATCTACTGAATAGCTAGCACTAATTTATAACAGTTAAACTATTGTTCATGTCTATAGATTATAGTATAAATACTATACATTCTATGATGAATATGATGCGTCTAGACTTGCGTGTCACCCATAGGAAATACCCATGATGATTTATGATATTATATATATATATCTCTTTGCCAGGTATGGGTTTGTTATAGCAGTAACAACAATTGACAACATTGGTGCCGGTGTGATCCAGCCAAGTCGTGGCTTTGTTGTATATCCTGTCAAATACAAAGCTATCGTGTTCAGACCTTTCAAAGGCGAGGTGTTGGATGCTGTAGTCACTCAGGTCAATAAGGTATGTATCTGCATAAGTAAACCTGTCATTGGTACAGGAACTAGTAAGAACCTACTCGTCAATAGTTACTATTGATGACAAACTTGTCAAGAGACTGATACCTGTGTGTTTATAGTTGCAGTTTGATTAATTTGAATTAATCGACTTTTCAAAATTGACCGTTAGTTTGTCAGTACTTTAAAATAGTATAAAAAATTCAAAACAGTAAATTGCGGGGGGAAAATAGGGAAATAAGTCCACTGAAAATTATTCATTTGATGTGTACGGAGATACATACACGTATGTGATGATCTCCCTTGAAATGCTTGTCTCTGTCACATAATTTATGTATTGCATGTATCAAATTGCTGTCCAATGAAAGGGAATTTAGCAATTAATTTATAAAATTTGTCAAATTTATTTCTTGTATTAATAAGAATATTATGTATCCTTAAGTTAAACTTAGTTAGAATGATAAGTAAGATATCTAAATACATGTATATGAAAAAGAAGCCTTATGGGCATGTGTCGCCAATTGAAAAAAAAAATGTCAATACAAATGTACTAAATATTTATACCAACTTTTCGAAAGTGATGGGAAGGTGTGACAACCAAATTTTTGTTTACAACAAGTCAATGGTGTAGCATTTGAAAGTGTTTAAAATTGAAATCATATAAGTCATACAGGTTTGTGAATAATGTATTGTCACTGGTGTCGTGTTATGAAATCAATATTTCAATATTACTGACATCAGATTTGTGTATCATTATGACATGTAGGTGTAGAGCTTGTTTTGTATACTAACTAGCTGTTGTTTTCTCTGTCAGGTCGGTTTGTTTACAGAGATTGGACCGTTGTCCTGTTTCATCTCTCGACATGTAAGTAGCTTCTGTAGAGATATATTCAGTCACCAATTCGTAAAAAATATGAATAAATTGGTATGTAGCATGATTATTTAAGCTTGAAGTTCTAATTATCAGTTAAAAAAAACAGATTTCGTTTTCAGGATTTATGATATTAATGCTTGACAAAAACTCATGAGTTTCATACGTGTATAGAAAACTAAGTCTTACATTAATAAGTAAAAAGAATTTGGGAAATTTGATAAATATGATTATATTTTTTCATGACAAATCAGATTCTTATAAAGCAGTTCCTGTTCAAAGGTAAAGAAGAAAGTAGTAACTTTATATAATCCTGATTAATAAATATTAGGCTGGTAAAAATGTAGAAAATATAATCATAGAATGTGCTTCAATTTTCTTGTGTTTGTTATTTCAGTCTATTCCAGCAGACATGGAATTTGATCCCAATTCCAACCCACCTTGTTATAAGACCAAAGACGAGGTATGTTATATATGATATCAAACAAGCACAGTATTTATATTTACTAGAACTGAAACTTCATAGAACTTTCCCCTAAAAACATTCCTCTAAATATGAAAAACATTGTCATTTATTCAGTTGTTTTTTTATCACTATATAGAGATATATCATATTTAAAAAAAAATGTAATTTCAGTGGAAAATAAATGCATATGATTTTTATGGAAGCATGCTATTGTCATTGTTAATTTATAAGATCTGGAGACGGTGATTTAGAAAAATGACATGGTTTTGGTGATATTTACAGGATGTAGTTATACAGCAGGACGACGAGATCAGAATTAAGATTGTCGGTACACGAGTGGATGCTAAAGACATTGTAAGTAACACAGGATAATATTACAGTGTCTTATCTCTAATGTTTAACTTGAGTTCTAGGTGTGATATACATTATTAAATTTGATAGCTACAATATATGTTGTGTTAGCAAGAAACTAATCCATTTTTAAAGTAGTAGCAAGACCTAATCCATATTTGTCTCTCATATTGTCGACTAGGTGTGAGTAGATAATTATTTTACATTTCAAATTTAGTGTCACTAAAATGATTATTTACATCTGCAATTTATCATAGCTAAGGAGTCAAGAAAGACAGATATGACTAGAAAACATCTAATGGTCTTATAACATACAAAGGGAGATAACGGATAGATGTATAACGATGTTGATGAAAGACTGTTATGATATTATAATTACTGGTATATATCATCTTGTAGGAGTTTGTGTTTCGACCTTCTGCTGTCAAAAACTAGGTCACTGTTACTATAAATAGAGTTTGATAAAAATTGGTCATCACACTTGTCTGTTATTTGTAAGGTCTGCAATATGCCTGGTTTTGTAACACAGATGTAGAATGTCCTATTAAACTGTCTCAATCCTGAGCTGCATGTATTGTTTTTTTTACCCCCACTTTATAAGGATCACATGGTATGATGATGCCCTTCCTGTTTTTCACAACGTTGTGTTACAACTAACCCATTCTTCACATTATTATTGCCCATTACCTAAGGGTGTGTCACTGCGTTGGCAAAGAGAATGATTCTACAGTGCCATATGATTGAGCAAAGATATCTAATGCAGTGATTGGGCCATGGATCTTTAATATTCATATCAATATAATTTTCAAGTTTTCATTATTGATAATATTATAATAGCTAAGGAATATAAGGGCAAAATACTGCCTTACAGCTGACAAGCTAGCTTTTCCAGTGATGCAGTATAACCCGGGGACCTGCCCACTAGTTCAGCTTGGTCAGTAGTTGGATGGGTGACCGCCCGCAAGTTACGATATGGTTAATACAAAATTCCTTTAAATTCTGCTATACAGCATGTTCTCATAAAAGCGTTATATATTCTCCCCATTTTGCCCCTCCCACTTCCCCACCCTCCACTTTTTTAAAAGAAATAAAAACTGTGTTCATGAAGACTCCATTTTGTATTTAAATTAGACAGTTGACTGACAATACATGTATGTACTTGACATACATTGTTACTCCTTATTTTGGAATTTTAACAATTTTTCCTTTTGAAATCAGTATTGTTACCTACTTCTTGCTTGTTTTTCAAATTCAGTTTGTTCATTTCATAGGATAGCTTAAACTGGGTCATTTTCACTTTAAATTTGTCAATTACTTCTTATTGTACAGTTAGACTTTCCTAGTGTCACTTTCAGAATTTGAGTTACTTCCCTTAGTCCACCTCAAAATTCTAATGAAATTGTGTACTTTTTATAATCAAACCACAACTTAATTACAATATACTTTTTCTGTTACAGTTTGCAATTGGGACATTGATGGATGATTATTTGGGTGAGTACATATACAACATACACACTTATTACAAACAGTGGTAGATTTTAATTGTACAAGGGATTACAGTCGCCTTCTAGCTTTGTTCTAGAGAGAATTTCCCTTTAGCTCAGTGGTAGAGCATTGGACTAGGAAGTCTGGGATCGAGGGTTCAATCCCCGGTTGAAGCACACTACTCTTCTTCATGTTACACAAATTATTGTGGTTTTTTTGACATAGGCATCCTTTTTTTTCCCCAAAGAAGTTTTTCTCTATTGAACTTTTAAATGCATGATTAGATTTGGACTACATTTTGTACATGTATATTAAATTACCAATTTCATACATGTTGAAAAGATCCTGGGATTTGAAATAACCATATGTTTTACTTATGAAGGTTGAAACACATATGTACATGTATGTACTCTTATAAAAAAAATTGTACCTATTAAAGGACCAAGGTCATTAGGTCACTGTCATCATATAAATAGTGGACATTTTTGCTGATACTTTTAAAACATTCTAAACACATTCCTTATGGATGAACCAAAATTCCCATTCAATCTAGGATGGAAGGTGCTTCAAACTGAGTTTTGGATTTCAAAGGTTGTAGCTCAAGGTCACTGCTACTTGATACTTTGACATTTTTTAGAAGTCTGACATGCATCTTCATAATCAAAATGTTTACTGTCTCTGATATAGGATCTACTAGCCACCTGCGGATTACACCCCTGTATAGTTCTTCAAAATGCATTCCATGCACTGCAACTCATTGTTACAGTTGTGTGATCGTACAACTCACAAAAATTACTATGCCCATATTGTGCAAACATCGTATGCCCGCTGTCCACACTAAGTGCACACAACTGTGCAATTTAACGATTGATCGCCCTGTTGTGTGATAAAACGTGCACATATGTGTGATATATTGCAAGAATGGTTGATTGATGGTACAGAATGTAAAAATTGAGAAATGCTTGAGTGTTTAAATAAGGTACATTGTATGCCTATATATATATATGCAATATTACAACATATGGTGCACAAACAATGCGCACACCGAACATCCTGTAACGTGAAATTCCACAACTGCATAGCTCAAGTGGGTTTTTGCATTATTTCTTGTCATCCATTGTCCAATTTCAGGTATCCAAAAGATGTTTTAGTAACAAACCATCTGTATAATAGTTTTGAAATTAATCATGTACACAGAGTTCGTAGAGGCCTTTAAACAGCCCTACGAACAAAAGGGTTAAAAAGCCCTAAAATTGATGGGGAAAAAAGTCCTAAAAGCCCCTGAAATTAACAAAAATCTTTAATGTCTTTAAAGGATCAAAATGAGCCTTGAATAAGACTTTATGTTCTTAAAATTATGATTGTATATTAGTTTTGGTGGTTTTGTAGTGTTATAATCCTCAGAAAATTGAATTCAGAAATTTGAATTCAGAAAATACAAGAAAAGGAGAATATTTGTTACAAGTTACTGTCTATATTTTTGGACTACCAACAAGTGTTAGATTTTAGGGTTGTGTTCATTTGGCGAGTTTAGAGATTATACATCAATTTGTAAAGGACAGGAGATTTTAGGTCTTAATTTTACTGAAAAAAATCTTATTAGCTTCATAAAAAACCAGTACATGTATGGTTTACAAAATTTGCTAAGAAAAGAAAATCTGTTGATAAACTGGGCTTCTATGGTGTGCTTGGTAATATACATTGTACAATATTTGAATGTTTCAATACTTAAACATGTCATCTGAAGAACCAATGCCCAAGAGTCATGATAATTGGCAAGTAGCTTGCTGGCCTAAAGTGGAAAGTTTTTAAAAAGAAATGACCTTAACCCATTTTCAAGGTTACAGAGGTCAACTTTGTTAAAATGGTCAAATTACATTTTCTAACAAACTGCCTTTTGTCAAGTAAATATGTAACTAGTAGCTTGGAGGCATGGAGTGCAACAAAATGTCTGAAAAAGAATGACCTTGACTCATAAATCAAGGTCACACAAGTCATATTTTTTATAAGCTCAAATGATGTCTATAGAAGAAAATGCCTTAAATCATGACATTTAGCCAGTAACTTGCTGAAATGTAGGGCCAGGAAATTTGTGCAAAGGACCGTTTTACATGTATTGTTATAAAATTTCACAGACACATTTACCCAGCTAATGAGGATATAAATCATATTGAGTTTGAGGTTCAGTGGTTGCAGTAAAGGTCCAGGTCACTTTGCCTCGTAATTTGCAATAAATTCCAAGCCATAAATCATTCAACTTTTCTCCAACTCTGAGTGTTTCAAACCTTTACTGACATATTACCGACACAGTGCCAATTTCAAGAAATCTGTTCATTCTTGGGGTCAAAGGTAGGTCAAGTATTCATTATGGACTATAGCTTTGACTCATGTGAATTTTTGCCAGCCTTTCTGAAATTTCACAGATAATAATCAGTCTTGGGTTCTATGGTCATTTAAGGATCATGACCACTGTGCTTGGTACTTTCAAACATGCTGTGGGTCATCCGTAAGTGCATTTTTTCACCACCTCTTTTTGCAAATTTCAAACAAACATTACCAATATGAGGACCAAGTACCTTAAATAAATATAAAGTACAGCTTTAGTACATTAGGTTAATTGGCAAAAGCAGGTTTCTTGTGTATACCACTAACCAGTAACCTACATCTTTCCTTCAATGTATCAAATACATGTATTGTATTTGTACATTACCTCAGCTGTATGAAATACTGTTATGAACATTTCCGTTAGTGTATGAAATTTTATATTTGTAAATCTCCTTCATTATATGAAATACTATGGATAATTTGTGGTTATTTTTTGGCGACATCAAAAACTGTATTTGGTACATTTTCAGTGGTTGTTTAAATGCTTTTACGTACACTTGACTATACTGCTGAGTAGTAAGCTATCCAGTAAATGAACATTCTGTATATAAACCCAGATCCTACATTGTTTTCATTTCATTACAAATTGTAATTATTACCTTATTCTCATTTCTTACTTTAAATCATGTCAGAATCAAATACTAGCATGATGCATTTCCTGGACTGGAAAATTGTGATATATATACCTTCTGTATCTGTAGATGTGTATGAGGTCAAATACTGGAATAGTAAATCTGTAAAGGTTTTATTCTCAGCTCTGTAATAAAATTTACATAAAACGCAGATGTGATACCTAAGTACCTTCTATAGGAATTGGCTCTAGTAAGGTATCAGAATGATTGGATTCCTGAAATAGTCAGCCCTGTATAAACAAAACAGTCGTCTGTGGGATGTATGGGTGTAGAATGTACCATATATGTCTTTAGATTGATCAGAACTTGAGATGGCATATTTATTGAAGTCACAATTAATTAATAGGGAAATATTTTCTGGGTAAGTGTTTCCTGTAAATCATAAACTGATTGCTGTTTTTTGTATATATATAAAACAGCATGGTTTGTAAAGTTGAAGGCCACAAACATGTATATAACACAATGATTACTATCTAGATGAAATTCAATTAAGAAAAGTCAAAGGACCGAGGTTATGACCTCGTAATCTGGAACAAAGGTTAACAGCCATGAACCCACGTACAAGGACCGACTGATTCTACTACTTCCCTACACTACATTCTCTCTGTTTTTACATTTTCCCCCCAAAGAAAAATCTGAATGTGTTTTTCGCTGTTGATTGTTAAGGTCAGGGTTGAGTAGTTTACTACACTCTGGAGGAGAATCAATACCAGTGTAAGAGGCATGTGGCCAGAATTTCCATGAAATTGGCTAATGAACATGGCTCCGTAGAAACTTGGCGTAGGATGATTGGCTTGGATGGCATTCATTGTAGGTGACGGCTCCAATGCCCAGAAATAAATCGCTGCCAAGCATTTGCATGTCGGTACGCATGAATGGAAAAAATATCTGAATTGAATTCTTTGAAAGAAACTGTCAGTTCTGTGCTAGTATTGAAAGGGTGCTGATACAGAATTCCTGGTTTTGTGGGCTGTATTTCTGTTTGTGAACAATATAACAGTTCAGTACCCCATCTCTCTGTCCTGATGTATTGGTTTGTGTAGCTACGTTGAGAGATTATATCCTTACCATTGATTGCCAATGAGAAGTTAGTTAGGTATTATATAACTCAGTATTGTGTGAAAATAGGATTTAGATTAAAATGCTTGCATCATTTCTTGAATGTAATGACTGACAAAACAGCCTTTAAAAAATGGGGTTTCAAGCATTCTCAGCTACGTTATTTTTACATTTATCAGAAAAACAAAAAAACTTTGGTTTTAGATTAAAATGCTTGCATTTTTTCTCAAATGTATGGTCTAATCACCCTTAAAATGTGTCTCCAAACATTTTCAGCATTATTTTTATTACATGTCATTACATTGGGCTAATTACTCTATTTATGTTGATTTGATAAAAGATGGTGACAGTTCATGACAAGGTACATATAAAACCTAGTTTGCTTATGTTGAAGTATACATGCATAGAAATCTAGATCTAATGGCACTGGTTCTGATGACAGCTGGTCAAGATGAAAGATTGAAGCAACTCGGAATATAGCTGGTCAAGATAAAAGATTGAAGCAACTCGGAATATAGCTGGTCAAGATAAAAGATTGAAGCAACTCAGAATATACAATAAGATTGCACATTTTGTAAAAGGGGGTTATTCCAGTAGGACATCTATCCACCCCAAGGACTCCAGGTTTATTGAAAGGTGACTCATGCAGCCATATAGAATTAAATAATTTGTGTAGAAGTAATGGGCAGGAAACCCAATCACGGACACAGAAGTTTTTGAGATCCAGGCAGATTTTTTACTGGAATAACCTAAATACACTTTCTAAATGCTGATCCATTTTTAATTTTTAATAACAAGATCAGATACAATAATTACTTAAAAATACTTTAAATTAGCAGAAACTCATCTTTAAAACACTGGGGCCCTTATTCATGAAACCGTTCTCATGCCCAAGCATGGAATCTGTGCTCAAACCAACTTTCTGGTAAC